TTCTTAACCGATGAGCCATCCATTTCTCCAGCCCCTACACTGATACAATTAAACAAGGTATTTGCTGACGTAGACTTTTTCTGGAGACAGCCATATTAACAATAGCTAGTTGTGTTAACCTCCCTGTTCTTCAGTTTCTTTCTCAGAATCTGGCCTATGGGCAGATGAAGTACAATTACCTATTTACTTGTCAGCTTCCTAAAGTAGGGCTTCCGAAATACATGCCCCCACTGCCTTCTATTGTTCAGAAGGGCAAAATAACGCAACATTTCCCACAAACATTAGCTGCTTCCACGTTCAAAGCTTCCGTGGCGTGAAATGTCTGGCCCAAGTACCCTGCAGACATATTCTACGGTGCTTGAAGGTACATAGGATTCTGTTATGTGTTTCTTAACTTGACACAAAAAAACGTAACACATCCACTCAGTACACCGAGGCTGGCTGGCTAGGGACGGGGCAGCGGCGACACAGGGCGTATGATCCGATCGATCACTGGCCAGTTTCCACGAGGTCATCTTCGCACTCCTGCGGGCAATGCGCGGCGGGGCCCCTAGCTTCTCGGGTGGGTGTCTCTTTGCGGCTGCTAGGCTTCGGGAGCAGCGCGGGGCTCGGGACTGCCCCAGAGCGCGGCGCTGATTGGCAGAGCGGGCGCCGCCGTCCAGGAAACGGCTCGGGTTTCAGCGGGGGGCGTGACCCGCCTGAGTAGGCTGCGGCGGCGGCGCGAGCGGCGCGGCGAGAGCGCCGGGAGAGGCGAGCAGCGGCGGCGGGCGCAGAAGCGGCGCACGGACGATCGAGTGCGCGGCCGCACAAGCTCTGGCGCGGGGGCTGCCTGCGCGTCCCTGGCCCGGCGTGGAGACTGCTCTCCGGGCTGGCGGGGGCCGGGCGTGAGCCCCCGGGCCTCAGCGTTCCTTCGCGCTGTGAGTGTTCGCCACTCGCCAGCAAAGTTTGGAGTAGGCAACGCCAAACCCCAGTCCTTTCTTCTTCTCGCTGCCCAGATCCGAGGGCAGCCCCGGCGTCATGTCCTCGCTGTTCTGCGATCCCGGACGTGCGTGAAGCCTTGGAACCTTGGCGTCGGCTGCAACCCAAGGGATCTTTCTCTTTTTGGAGTTTTCCTCCGAGCTCATCGTCTGTTCCATCCCGACCCATTCCGGGCTCCGGCAGCACCGAGCGCGGAGGAGCGCTGCCATTCAAGGTAATAGCCGTACGCCTCCGGGAGCTTCGCCAGCAGGGAAAGTGGGTGCCGTAGGAGGACGCGGGGCGCAGGATCTCCGGGAGGAGATCGCGGGGGAAAAGATTTTGGGGCGCGCCCTGTCGGTTTCTGGCTGGATTGGTGATGGGGGAGTGGATACATGTGGATGGTTGGCTTTGGGGGAAGTTCTTTCAGCACCTTCATCCAGATGCTGACATCTGTGTCTGCCGCCCGCACCCCTTCCCTGTCAGACTACGGCGGGCAGTCGTGCCGACTGGGCGCGTTCCTCTGAGCTCAGAGCCGGCGCGCCATGGGGCTGCCTGCCAGTGGCACAGCCCTAAGGCGGGGGCTCGGGAAGGGCATCTTCGGGGTGCCTGGGCTCTGGGAGCTCCAGCTCGGTACTATACAGGTCTCTGGGAGGGGTTCTTTCCTGGGAAGAAACTGCTGGAGTGTGGCCGGCGACCTCCCAAAAGGGATGGAGATGTCCGGGTGACACCTTTAGCGAGGCAATGGCTGGGTCCCGGATTCCAGTGCCGGGCGTCTGTCGCCCGCCACAGCGGTTGGCGCAGGAGGGATCGCAGCGCGCCTGGGGCTAGGGGGCGAACTGGACCGACTTTTCCTAGTTCTCCTAGCTGCTCCGACCGCAGCCGCGCCGAGATGTCGAAAGCGCAGGCGAGTTCTAACTTGCGCGCTCATTCTTTCAGCGCGGGGGAATCGGCCGAGGGCCCTGCGTGGCTCTGGCTTCCACCGTCGCGGCCAGGGAGTAGGCTAGGCAGGCCGGTCCCAGGCGCGGAGCCTTCTCCGCGCCCCTGCAAACTTCCCAAGACCGTCCTTCTTCACCCCCAGTTCAATAAAAACCTACCCTTAAAGGCAGACTTGCTTTCAAACTCAGGGCACCCATTATGTGTTTGGTGTGAAATGCTATCAACATTTAAAACTCTATTGTTCCCGGCGTCCCAAATCCCTGTAAATCTTCCACCAGCCTCGACTCATTTTCATCTGAAAAGCCTGTTTAGTTTGAATAGAAAAGCAATCAGGCACCCCTCTCCCTCTCGTTGGAATGTCAATTAAAATGCAGATTTCTCAGAGCTCTTTAGCGCCCCAAGAAGAAGGACAAAACAGGATATTCCAGGCTGACAAATGAAAGAAACGCTACAATGAAGTAGGGTGGTGATGTGCACCCCAAGTTGCTCAAAGTACCCAGTGAAACAGGAGGGCAGGGATTGTATCCTTATGGCAGCTTGCATGTTTGGGATTTCGTTGTGTTTAAGACCCCCTTACCCCGCCCTCAGCCTATGACAGCTCCCCTCCCTGTTCAGCCCCCGCAAGAAGTAAGGAACCCTTGAGCCAGTATGGGGGGGGGGATCTACATTTAATATTAGCCAGTTGTGTTGACTTCTCCCACGAGAAATCCACTTGGGAATAAAATCCCGATTGCTCAGCCCGCTAAGGCATCTTGAGGACTGAAAGATTCTTTAAGGTAGTAGCGCCCCCCTTCCCTCACACACACACACACACACACACACACACACACACACACACCCACACCAGGCTGGCCCTCAATTAGCCTGCGTACACACACACACACACACACACACACACACACACACACACCAGGCTGGCCCTCAATTAGCCTGCGTTCTTGAGGATGGGGAAAAGCGTGCAAAGTTGTATAGCAGTGTGCACGCTCACCAGCGACCAGGCCCTTTCTGCTGGTCACGACGCCTGTCTTTGGAGGCAGACTTGCACGGAGGTGACCCCAAGGGGCGGGTGGCCGTGAAGAGCCATCCGTCAGAGCGTCGGTGAGGACTCCTCCCTCGTAGGCTGAGAAGAGAGTTCCCTTTCAGGGGGAAAAAATAAACACGCTGGGGCTTTCACTGGGGCTCAGCCTCCAGGAAGGATTATGGTATTGAAGGCAGGAAGCTGGGATTGTGGCCGCCAGCAGCATGCTGGGCCTGTGTTCCCAACACCGAGCCTTGGGACCTAATTATCCTGCCTAGGAGGTCGCTCAGCACTTTTGTCCACTCCTGTGAGGAGCTGCACAGACCTGCTGCCTTCCTTCTCACCTTACAGAGGTTTGAGGAGGGGGCTGCTGTGGGGCCCCGGCCTGCCAAGAACCAACGTTGAAGTGGAGTCAGCCCGGGCCCTGGCCATTTTCCTCCTCCAGCTGGAGCCTAGGCGCCTGGGTAGGGGCTGTGGGGAAGGCTGTGAGCACCCTGATGCAAGCAAGACCTACTAGAATCTGAGATTGATTGTAAAGTTGCTAGAGAGGTGGAGAATTTCCCTGAATTCTGGAAGTTCTTAGTAAATCAATGAGAATGTCTGTGCTCTTTCCTCTGACAGGTATATAGAAACAGACAGGACATTACCTTTTGGGACTCTTGACTTTAAGAAGAGTTGGGGAGGAAAAAAATCTTTTAAGGCATCTTTAAAAAAATGCTGGGAACACACACACACACACACACTTTTGGCTTTTGTTGTTAACTATACCATTTAACAGTGCTTACAAAACAAAACCAACTTCTTATTTTCCCCTTGGAGATGGTGTGTCCATCCTCTTTGCCTATCCTCCCTTTAATTCTCAGTGAAGAGTAAAAGGCACAGATTTTAGGACAGAACCTTTGGGGAGGTTCTTGCAGCCTTGAGCTCCTGTGTCTTAAATGAAAGCATCAAAAGACTTTTTCTCTTTGCTCTTAAAACTCTCACCCATTCCCAGTCCCAGCTTCATGGACTCTGGCACCCAAGGTTTTGTGGAATCTTTCTCCACCACTGTCTTAAGCGGGGTCACTGAAGCTTGTGCATTCTGACTCAAGGCTTAGTCAGTGAGGATAGTGAACAAACTTAAAGTTATTTGTATTGTGGCAAGCTTTCTTGGGAAATTCTCCCTACTTTGGGTAGAGTAAGTTGAGTCCCCTTGTAACTGACACTTTTAAAGTTTAGCCAATAGGTTGGCATATTGAAAGTCCCCCAGGCCAATCACATACCAGGACAACTTACACGTACCATCACCATTACTAATAAACTCTTGCATTATTCATCGAGGTTTGCGTCTGTTCTGGATCCTAACCCCCTTGATGCAGGGTGAAGACATTTAGTTAGTGTGCCTGCACACAGCCTTGTAGTCAGTGGAAGGGAATTCAGGCTTTGAGTCCCCCGTTTGGATCAAACTCACTCTTTGTAAGTGGCTGCTTGGCGAAAGACTAAAATACACGCCTGCATTTGAAAATGAATCCTGACAAGTGTAAACTGGTGGGAATTTTTTGTAGCCTTCCTGGGATTCTTTGATTCTGTTGGTCTCTCTTTCTAAAGGGGGTGGTGGGGGGATGCCGCACTGCTCTAGCCCAGCTCTGAGCAGACCCTCCTCCTGTCAGCCTCTTAAAGGCCAGCTGGAGTAAGAAAAGTTAATGAGGCTGCTTGTGCCAGGCCCAGCGTTTTAAACTCGTTTTTTTTTTTTTTTTTTTTTTTTTTTTTTGCAGTTGCCCTTGGAAGGAAGGAAGGTCAGGTTGCTTCTGCAACTTGGTAGCTTTGATAGTGGATGGAGGGGCATACTGCGTGTGTAGCGGGGTGGCTGGGTCCTATGGCTATTCTTGATCTTGGTGTCTCCTAAAAGTAAGCTTCTAAAAAGATTAGCCTACTCCAACTTGTGGACCAGTCTGGAAACACCGGGATACTGAGGTGAGGATGGAGGCTTTGATAATGAAAAGGAATGTGTTTGTGCAGGGCTGAGAAACGGTTTTATCCCATCTGGGTTTAAGCGAGTTGGCACAGGGAGAAAGACTGTACTAACTGGCTGAATCTCTTTCAGTGGCGGCAGCAGCAGCAGCGGCAGCAGCAGCAGCAGCAGCAGCCCCAGCACAGCCACCGCCACAGCGCCCTGGCTCCTAAGCCCCCTGTGGGCTGAAGGCATTGCAGGCAGCCCATGGTCCTTGAGGAAGTGTGCAGATGGGATTACCGTCCACATGGAGATATGGAAGAGGACCAGGGATTGGCACCGTGACCATGGGCAGCTGGGGGCACTTCATCTGCCTGGTCTTGGTCACCATGGCAACCTTGTCCCTGGCCCGGCCCTCCTTCAGTTTAGTTGAGGATACCACATTAGAACCAGAAGGTAAGTTCTCACATGTCATTTTTAGGGTACGGAATTGTTTGGGGGATATGTGTGGGGGAAGTGGCCATTGAAGGAAAGGCCTTTTTTTCAACCAGCTGCCTTAGGAGGGCGACCCCTCTCTGTATCTTCCACAGCAGGGCTTAGAAGGGAGGGTCTTGGCTCCCAGGCATGAGTGGAGTGATTAGTTTGCTCTGCTCTCTGCTGGGTGAGGGCAGCAGCGGCAGCTCCTTCTCAGCTACTGCGTTGCAGAACTCTGGAGTGGTGTCTTAGCAAGATGACTGTCATCGGTGGCCTTCTGCAGTTGCTTTCTGGATGGCGGTTAGCCTTGAATTGCTGTTTTTTGGCTGAAGGAAATAGGAGGCCTGTGAAGGCTGATGTTTTCTTTGCATTGTTTAAAAGAAAAGGGGGCTCTGAAGCTGAGCACCAACTGCCTTGCCATGGTGAATGGTTTCGAAGCTGTGGTAAGCTCTTTGTGCTTAAGCCCAGCATCACAGAGTGGCAGGTTTCATGTTAGGAAGACTCCAAAGTGAATATTATTGCCAAGGGGGGGTCTCCCTCATCCCAGGAAATGCCAGATTTCACTGGTATTTGGCTTTCGACACTTGGTTGCAAATGTGAAAAGCTGGTTGTGGGGAGGACATGCTGAAATACTGAGCTGGGCAAAGATGTGGTCCTGCTCCCAGGTCCTTCAGAGATGTGGTCGATAGCCAAGCCTCTCTGCTTGGTGTGGCATGGAAATCTGTCATCGGGAGGGAATATTGGTAGGCGAGTTATTTTCTGAGTGGTAATCCGAGCGTGACACTGCAGATCCCAGCTCTCATCGCCACTTAATGAACGTGTTTGCCGAGGGCCCACCTGGTGCCGGCTGGGCTTTGGAGTCCGTCACGGTCCTGAGTGCTGGCGGGTCAACCGAGCTGCTGGGGTTCTGCGTCATGAATCAGGGTCCTGAGGGACAGAGTGTTCATCCAGAGGGCAAGGGTGGACAGAACCCCCAACGATGCCCACAAGGAGGGCTAGGCACCCATCTGAGATGAGGGCTAGAGAGATGGGTCCCCAGTGAGCTCCACCCAGGCACTGTCACTGGCCTTCTGTGAACGAGACTGGGGGACGCTGGGCTACATAGATGCCCGGAAATGTTATAAATTACCAGGTGAGATATTGTGGCACCTGTCGTGTCTTTGGAAAGGAAATATGTTAGGAGATTGTGTGTGAGGCTTGTTCAACATACAGCTTCATAGCCAGTTTTGGAACCACCTCTTTGTGACTTGTACTGTGACAACAGGGAGAGTGTAATGTGCAACTGTGACAAGCTTTCAAAGGGCTGAATGTGAGGGGAAAGGATTGGGTTTCTGAAAGTCTGGTCTGCACTTCTTTAATTTTGCTAATAATTAAAATGGATGTTCCCCTAATTGCTGGTTTTCCCCGGAGTGTGTGGCTCAGCACAAACTACGGAAGCTGCACTGGGATTTCCTACAGTGTGGGCTTCGGAAACAGCCCTAGTTAGGAAAGAATTGTCATTTTTCATTTGGGCTCTCGGGGCAGTGTTGCTATGAGTTGATTTCAGCGCAGAGTATAAAATGGTCTTGGAGGGTTTCCTGGACTGCATCTAATTACCTAAGGGAAGTTACAAGATGTGTGTATGTGCAGGGAGAAGACAGGTGGGGGAGAGGAAGGAGGGACATTGGGATGGAGTCCCCCGAATGGCTCTTTGTGTATGAATTGATATCCAACAATGTGAGCATTGTTGAAATCAGATCCCACCACCTGGGGACCTGTAGGTGCATGTAGGTTTAGGGAAGAAGGCCATGAAGTCCCAGAAGTTGTAGGTCACGTTTTGCCAATGCCCTTGGGTTCAGTTCGCTAGATTCAGAGTTTGCATGAAGTTCAAATCACATGCAGAGTTGGGAAATGCTAAAAAAAGAAAAAAGAAAAAAAGAAAAGAAAAAGTGTTTTAAGGTGTGGAGCTTCACTAGAACAGGCTGGAAAAAGAGAACTCTCTGAGGGTTCAATATGACGAGTTTGAGGAATCTCTCTATCAATAGTCATTGCACAGTAACATCCCCAGATACCTTCTGGTGAGCGCCTCAGAAGGTTTGTGTTTCACCAGTGATCTGGACAAAAAGAACAGAAAGCACAGCTTCTGGCATTGACGGTGACTGTGACCGTCACCATCCCCAACAAACTGGGGACAAGGTGGTGCCAGTTCTCACAGTAACAAGCAAGCTATGTGGGGGGATGAAGGTTGCTCTGGGAAGAGGCAGCTGTGCTGGATCTCTGCATGCTTCATGTTCTTTCCTTGTCTGTTAGAGCAACATTGCACTGGTGTCCAGGTGATGAGAAGATTACTAAGATAGAGATGCAGCTCACTCCATGCTAGGCTCTGGTGGCTCCGAATGGGATATGTGCATGTGTATGTCCCTCCATCCACCACAGTGAGTGCCACTAGAACTTTAGCTGACACTAGGTTTGCTATTGATTATCTGGAGCTTTACCATGGAAGACTTTGGTTTGTTAATTTGGAAGCTCAGTTTAGATAATGCCAGAGAAGTATGTAATCAAGGGGTTCCTAGAAAAAGCCCATAGCTCCCCTACTAAGGAACCCTTCTTTTCTGACCCCTTAGGGAAATGTTACATTCAGTCATGTAGTTCTGTGTATTATATTTAATCATGGAGTGCTTGTCATCATCCCCCATCCTGTCCTTCCTGTGTGTCTCTGGACACTTTCTTAAGTGGCAGCAGCAGAGTTGGGTCAAGTCAGTTGACCTAAGAAGAAAGTAATCTCTGTAAGATTTTACTCAGTGTTTCAGAATAGAAATGTATCCAACTGGTCACTCATTGTGACAAAGGACAACAGTGTCAATGGTTGCCTGGTGGGGAGGGGTGGTCCTGATTCTAAGAACTGTTCTGTTGGTTCATATCTCGAATGTTCCCAATGTTGTCAAGCTTGATGACTGCCAGTCCTAGTTCTTATTTTCAGATTCTCCCTGACATTGTCACCTGCTCTAGTTAATTAAGTCATTGTTGACATTAAGGGAATCTGTTTACCCCAGCCCAGTAGGAGCCAAAATAAAAGGGCTTTTCCAACCCCAAACCCTTAATTACTTTGCCACCCTTTGCAAACTGAAATTCTGCAAAGCAACAACCTGGGGAAAGTAATTTGCATGCCTTTAAAAGAAACCACTGTTTTTTGGGCGATGCTGTTTTGAGTTTTCTGGGGTGTAAGGGTGAGGGCTATGCTGCCCTGGATTCAAGTGAGCGGAGATGAGTGTGAGGTCTGCTGAAGTCAGTTTTTCAGGGTAGTTTAAGTTCTCTGTCAGAGAGTATCCTACCTGCTGTAGTCCTTCACATTTAATTGCCAGTTCAACAAAGAGAAAAGAGATATCTGCATGGTGCAAGTGGATGGTTTAAAATAAATCTTGTGCTTCCTATTATCTACATTTCTGTTCCTCAGTATGAGTGTGAATATTTAAGAGTTGACTGTAACTTGATAGTTTGCTGTGGAACAAGGGCTTATTCTTGGTCAATTAAACCAAATGCAGGCACATGCTGCTAAACATACAATGGAGTACACATTCTTCATTAGTATATAACATATTTCACAATTCACAGACAAAGAACTGTGTTTAATATTACTTCTAGAGCAAAAACCTGGCAAGCCCAGAAAATTGGCATTTATATAACTTTCTCTTGCTGGCTTCCGCTGATCCAAACAGAGCAAGGCTGCTGATCCAAACAGAGCAAGGCTGTGTGTGTGTGTGTGTGTGTGTGTGTGTGTGTGTGTGTGTGTCTGTGTGTGTGTGTGTCTGTGTGTCTGTCTGTGTTGCCTATTTATTTTAGTCAGTTAAAAGATCATTTACTTAAAAAAATATTCCTCCCTTCCCCAGTCAGCACTAAAGGCCTTTCATTGTTGTTGTTTTTAAGATTTTTTTTTTTTTTTTTTACAAAATTCCTTTGAATAGGGTGCATGGATGTGTATTTCTGTGTTTATGTAAGTGTACCCATGGAGTCTGTCAGTTTCGGATGGCCTGAAGTTGGGCCTGGAAATGAATGTGAGTCCTCTACAAGGGTGGCATATGCTCATAACCACTGAGCCATCTTCTTCTGCTCCAAGATCTTTCAGAGTTGGTTTTGTTTGTTTGTTTTTTCTGTTGACGGTGAGAATTCAAATAACCGAGCATTCCAATAGGAGATGTTTCCAATATCAGATTTAATGAATAATTACATGGTTATGAAATAACTGGGGTAGTGTTTAAACAGGAAGGGGATGTTTAATGTTCACATTCTCTGTGGCATGCTTGCTGTAGCCCTGTGCATGCAGTAGCCCCCACGCTTGCAGACTGTTTAGCTATTTACAAAGTCATAGTGGTTGTTAAAGGACAGCCAAGTCTATTTCATCAATGTCTGCCTTATTTTTCTATTTCTGATCAAATCCCTGGGAAGCTTGATCCAGCAGGGGATCTTGGCTTGGTCTACAGGCCAGGAATTATTTTGGGGGAGGGGGTGCTGCAGGCTATTTTACAGATAATTATGGGTTTCCTGTTCAGAAATGTCCCTGTAGGGGCTGGGAGGATGGCTCTGTGATTAAGAGTACTTCCTGCTTTTGCAGAGGACCGGTGTTGGGTCCCCAACACCCCCCCAGGGAACTGTTCATAATTGTCTTTATCTGCAGCTCCAGGGAGATTGGGTGCCTCTGACATACTGCTGACTGCACATGCCCTTTTTACACATGTGTATCCCCTTGTGTTAAGTCATGATTGCCAAGATGGTGGTCCTGTGAGCGGTGGCCAAAGGTGTTTAGTAGTAGTCTCTTTTTAATATACAATTGGTGAGATGGGCTGTGGTGGCCTTTAACTCACTTGGGAGGCAGAAGCAGGCCAATCTCCGAGTTTGAGGCCAGTTTAGTCTATAGAGCAAGTTCCAGGACAGCCAGGGCCACACAAAGAAACCCTGTCTCAAAAAGCCAACACACACACACACACACACACACACACACACACACA